CAAATTAAATTAAATTAAATTAAGGACATATTGGTAATACGAGGTCACTGCCTTGCTGAAGCTAAGCAGGTCTAGTTCTAGATATGAGACATCTTGATAAATTCATGTATGCTGACTTAGGTGCAAACACTTAAGAAAGGAGAGGCTATAGAATGTAAGGAAATAATAAAAAAGCAAGTAAATTCTGCTCTTCTCACCAGCAGCTTGCAATAGTTATTTCCTGAAGACTTCATGCATTAATTTGAACATGCTGCTACTTGTTGACAAATTGAACAGTGATCAATTCCCAGGTGCTTTTTTTTTTTTAAAAAAATCAAGTTAAGGAAGAACATTGGATAAATAAATGAAAACCTAGACCTGAACACATCAGATATTAGAACCTTTAGAACTGTGAGGGCTGGCTACATATTATTTTTTATTTTGGTGTAATGCAACCTAAATGTCTTACATTATTTACTTTTGCATTTAATTTAGTCTTTTTGTTGTAAGCGTATTAAATACATGCAATATAAACAAATATGTTGCATTTCCTATCTCCAATATTTATATATTCATTCACAATGTCCAAAATAAACAGAATATGCAAAATAAATTCTCATTAAACTAATTATTAATTATTTTACATTTTCTACTATTTAAGGCATCAAAAATGCAAAGGTTGCAATGAGAAGAGGGAAGCCCACAAAACTGAGCTTTCCTCTCCTTTGCATCTCCCTGCATCCCCACAAAACCCTCTCCATAGGGTTTCCCCCTATGAACATGTCATAAGGGCTGCAGTGGCAAGGTGGAATCACCCCAAATTGGGTGGCGCCTGGAGGAGTCTTGATCCAAAAGGAGCTCTGCTCCTGCAAGATCTCTCTGCCTGATTTGGGTAATTCCCACCCCCCACAACCTTGCAGCCCATGGAGAGAGTTTTCAGGTGGGGGGGGGGAGGGAAGAGAGTGTTTGCATGAGCTACCTTCCACTCACACAGCCACTGGATAAATATTACATGCTAAAAAAAACAACCCAGCAGCTATAATGGGGTTCATGATTTCTCAAAAGTTTCTTTCTGTTTAATTTTCTTTTGGCATTCCACATATTCTGTCAATCTGGCCATTTGAGCCAAATACTAAATTAATTTAATCATAGTTGGCACATTATTTAGAAGCTATCGGGATTTTTGCTGGAGTTCATGCCAATTCCAGATGTTTGGATTCACTTTTCTTCTTAAATATCCTGGCAGTCCATGAAATGGACTTAATTGTAAAGAGTATTCAATCATCCGACTAATAGAAATACTAAGTTAATTCCAGAAATGATGTTATCTTCTTACACTTCCACCACATGTGCATAAAATTCACAATTCTTTTCCTACATCTTTTTGTATTTAGTATTGGATGTATTAAAAGAGCTAGCTTTTAAAATCCTGCTTGCACTGATTTTTGAAACAGCATCTCTGGTAACATAAAAAAACCACACACACACACAGCAAAGTAATACATTTGGAATAAATAATTGTTTTGTCTGAGATGGACATTATAAAGGTCAAGCATATAATGGGGTTTTAGACATATTCATTGCGTACTATCTTATTTCATTCTCTCTGGCTTTCTGCATTGTGAAATTTGGTTTTAGTCATGTAGTTAATCTGCAATAACTATATAAGATTTTGTCTCTATATGAGCGTAAAGAAAGTTAGGAAAAGAAATACATATTTACAATAATGATACATTGCCAAGCAGAACACCCTGTTTAATCAACCAAAGCTTTATTTAAGAGTCATTTGCAATCAGACCATAATTATGCCATTAAAAGTATAGACCTGACTATAATAATTAGCCATCAGGGAATTTACAATATATCTGTAACCTAAGAATCTTTGGCAAAATAAATATTATGAGAAGCATGGCACAAAAATTAATTTATGACTGCAACTGCAGTCTTTCCTTAGTTTTTCATATTTTGGGCATTCTTTCTAAGGATTTGAATGTGCTTAAGTTGTGAAACATCTGTGTTTGCTCCATTAGAAAAAAACCTAAATTGCGTTTTTATGGATTAAAACAGGCACCACACTTAATGCTGAACACTTGAGAATAACTCATTACCAAAGAAATTAAAGGTTTAATTTTTATTTATTTTTTGGATAACGTGACAATTCCTTTAACATGTTCATTGACTCCCCTTCCTTTCCCCCCCTGTGTTATGGATCTAATCCCCTTACTGCTTCAATTATTTCAAAATGCCTTTCATTTGCAGAATACTGAATATAAGGATGCAGAATATTATCAGACAAGTTGTTTTGCCTAAGTTCCCAAACTTTAAATGGGCAGCCTTAATTAAGGGCCTTCATTCACAATCCCTGACTTTTTATTTGTCATTTTTGGGCATCTCATTTCACCCACTACACTGATTTTAGCTCTATCCAGGGCAGGTGGCAGATATATCCTAAGATGCCACCTTGATGACAGCTACAACCTTGAAGAAATACACAGAGCCTGTGATGGCCCTCCTTAAGGAGATTTCTAAAGGCACCAAGGATGCTGATGAGTTAAAAGATGGGGAATTTTGTTTATTTATCCATTTATTATTAATTCTCCACTTTTCTCCCAGTGCAGGACCCAAGGCAGCTCTCGGCATAAATTAAAACAAATATAACTAAAAGCACGTAATAAAAAAATTATTAATATTAAAGAAGAAGTAAATAAGTAACGCTATGAAAAACAGCACTGAAAACACTCAGTCTCGGAAGACCCTGCCACAACAGCCAGTTAGTGGCCAAAGGCCTGATGGAACAACAACAACAAAAATACTTTGCCTGCTGGGAAAAGGAAACCAGGAAAAAGGAGCCATTGTACCTCCCATGAAAGGGAGTTCTACAGTTTGGGAGTAGCCACCAAGAAGGCCCTCTCTTGCGTCCTCTTACCCTAAGGTTACCATATTTTGAAGAGCAGAAAAGAGGACACATTTGCCGACTTCTACTTTTAACTATGGAACGCTATGACGACACTCATTTTACCGTATTTTTTGCACCATAACACTCATTTTTTCCTCCTAGAAAGTAAGGGGAAATGTCTGTGCGTGTTATGGAGGGAATGCCTACGCGTGGCATGCCTACGGATTTTCCTCCTCTAAAAACTACGTGCGTGTTATCGTCGGGGGCGTGTTATAGAGCGAAAAATACGGTACATACCCATGAAAAAGAGAACATGTCCTGGAAAAAAAGAGAACATATAGCAACCCTATTATCCTGAGAGAGAAGATAATGGACCTAAAATCTGCCCTCCACTTCAAGGAGGTATTCATGAAAACTGAGAGCCACATTTCCATTTTTGGGAACCATGATGAAAGAACCATAACTGGAAGCCACATTACTGTAGTCATATGGAGCAATGGAGGAGGAAAATGGTAGAGATTGGTGAGCAAAATGTGTCCTATAACAGACATAAAATTCCTGATTTGTGGTAGAATATTTTGGCAGAAATGTATTGATTTATGTCAACGATAAAACTCCATAAGCTTTGCATCAGTCTTCCTCTCATCTTCTTTTCTACTGTCCTTTCATATTTTGCCCCCCCCCCCCCACTTCATGCTGACCTGTTCCTGTACAGATTATTATAGTGGGAGGTCACTCTTTACCACTTGGCAGAAGGGGGAAACCTATACAGTACATTTGCAATCAATTAAATAAGCTTTAGGGACGCAGGTGGCGCTGTGGGTTAAACCACAGAGTCTAGGGCTTGCCTATCAGAAGGTCGGCGGTTCAAATCCCCACGACGGGGTGAGCTCCCGTTGTTCGGTCCCTGCTCCTGACAACCTAGCAGTTCGAAAACACATCAAAGTGCAAGTAGATAAATAGGTACCGCTCCAGCGGGAAGGTAAATGATGTTTCCGTGCGCTGCTCTGGTTCACCAGAAGCGGCTTAGTCATGCTGGCCACATGACCCGGAAGCTGTACGCCGACTCCCTCGGCCAATAAAGCGAGATGAGCGCCACAACCCCAGAGTCGGTCACGACTGGACCTAATGGTCAGGGTCCCTTTACCTTTACCTTTAAATAAGCTTTTATTTATCATCTCCTGACTGAGCTTTCTAGTGGCTTCATGTTTGCGTATTATTAGTTTTATTTTGTTTAAAACATTTATATACTGCCCAACAACATGTTTTCTGGGTTGTTGACAATAGAGTTTATAAGATGTATTTGTTTTAAAGACACACACAAACACAAGCAAACAGATAGTCACTGAGTCAACAATGAGCGTACTGAACGTGATGCTTATTCACAATTACTGCACCATCAAGAAATTTCAAAGCAAATACTCCACCGCTTTGCAATTTCCTGTATCCATGGTAAAGTAACAGTACAAAATTGTTGCACAACAAGTCACAAGACCTGGCTTATGACTGCTTTCGTTATTGTTCTGCTTAGGCAGATGTATAAGTCATATAAGATGGCAGCGCTTTGTCTAATATAGTGGAGCCCATAGGACTACAGACATGTTACATTCTGTCATCATGTCATGTAACCATTGTATGTGTTCAGAAGGCTTCAAAAGTACTTGTATGGCTAAATAAGACCAGCCACTTCAGGGAGTTTGGTCTCACTAAGATTGAAGTCACTGGTCAAAATTAGTGACTTGCTTCAGCCTCTCTCAAAATGTTGACCTTGCATGCTCATGTGAGCAACTGGGCATGATCTAAAAAGCTCATAGATTTTGGCTCAGTGTCCATGATCTGGGAGGCTGTAAATTTGCCTTGAGAGGATTGCAGAAGATGCAGAAGATGCTCATGTAACATGTATCTTGCAGCCCAGCCCAGTTTCCTTGTGCATCTTCCGCACTCTCTACGTGACTGGAGAGCTATATTCATGGGATAACCATGTGCATTTAGCATGGGTAACATGTAACTTGGTTGATCCCTGGAAATTCTACAAATATATAAAAGATTTCAGAAAAAAAAATACCATTTTTATATACAGCCAATAGGGTTTGTCTATGTCAGTGATGGCCAAACTTGGCCCTCCTGCTGTTTTGGGACTACAATTCCCATCACCCCTAGCTAACAGGACCAGTGGTCAGGGATGATGGGAATAGTAGTCCCAAAACAACTGGAGGGCAAAGTTTGGCCATCACTGGTCTATGTGCTGCAAAGAGGGATTTGTGATTTTTATAATTGCTTTTCTTATCATTAAAGGTAAAGGTAAAGGACCCCTGACAGTTAAGTCCAGTCGCGAACGACTCTGGGGTTGCGGCGCTCATCTCGCTTTACTGGCCAAGGGAGTGTTTGTCCGCAGACAGCTTTCAGGTCATGTGGCCAGCATGACTAAGCCGCTTCTGGTGAAACCAGAGCAGCACATGGAAACACCGTTTACCTTCCCGCCAGAGCGGTACCTATTTATCTACTTGCACTTTGATGTGCTTTCGAACTGCTAGGTGGGCAGGAGCTGGGACCGAACAACGGGAGCTCGCCCCATCATGGAGATTCGAACTGTTGACCTTCCGATCAGAAAGCCCAAGGCTCAGTGGTTTACACCACAGCGCCACCCGTGTCCCCTTTCTTAGCATTAGCATAGTGTTTAAGCCTATTTGTTCAAAATTTTAAGTTCTTCGACGCAATAACATTTTGCATTGCAATTTTTTTTATTAAAAAACCCACCCAGTGCTGCAACTTACAGTTTACTTTCATGATATAATAATCAACTTTATCGTTTCCAATGCTCCCTTGTCTGGAAATCACCACCAAGTCTCTTTTTAAACCATTCAGCGAAGCTCCTCATAATAGCTTTATTATGCTTTTGTTCCAATTCACAAAGAGTCTCCAATACTGAATCCCATGGTAACTGATTTTCCTCATGAGTAGGGTTGGAGCAGCATACAAATGGAAAAGCCTTATTATGACACTGAGCCCATCTCCTTTCAAGTTCCAGATACAGCCCCTACTGTTCATTTCACATCTTGCCAAAGTCAGGAAGGCAAGAAAGGCACCAGCCAAAAGTAAAGGGAAACAAAAAAAGAATGAAAAGGGGGTCAGTTCTAGGGTTTCAAAGGAAACACTCATCAGAATAATGTGACCTATTCCTAAATTAGTAAGAAAAGAAAGCCGTTTGCATCAGTTTGGTACTATATATAACTAATTTGAGTGTTAGTGGCTGTGGAAGTACATAAGCAAATCAGCATACAATGTACTGAAAGATCAGACTTGGAGTTTTCACTTTTTCGCTGCAGCTTGGTTTGGTATTCAAGTGAAAATGACCAAACATTGATCAGAGCAACTCTAGGAGACATGCCTATCCTCCTCATTTTACACAGAATAATACATGGAATACACTGCATCCTCCTTGAGATCTCCCATTGAGTCAAAAGGGAGATTGTGATTTTAGAAAATGAATATAATTACATAGCAATATTTGCTGTAACACAGTGGGGACTCCAGCTATGTTAGCTTTGCGTACTCTGCATTCTTCCCTACAAACAAATGTGTCTATATTGTTAAAGAGGTTTTTTGGGGGAAGAAACCAGTTCTATTTTTCTAGAAAAAGAAGTGCCAGAACTCACCATGAAAACCTCCCATGTTCTCTTATAATGGCAATGGTGCCCACCTGAGAGGTGCCAGGACTAAGTTCTAGTGAGTTCCAGCTTTAAAAAAGCCCTGAGGAGCCCCCTAAAGTTCTAAGGTTACCAGATTTTTTTCAATGAATCCTGGGACACTTTTCAACTTCAATGGATTTTGTATGGGGACTGATTTGTCAATCCGGGGACTGTCCCCAGGCAACGGGGTCATCTGGTAACCTTACCCTAAACCCTAGAAATTAATAAATGGTAGGATTTTGACTAATTGGGAGATGAAAGGAGAAATACAAGCTGCAGAGGAATTCCTGGGCTAGCCTATGCAAAATGACCTGGCTAAGCTAGGGCCATTAAGAAACAAAACATTACACTGGCAATGTAAGAAAACGATCTTTTTTCCTCCTGCCCTGAGGTATGAACAGAGGCAGGTGATTTGGAAAGTTGCCAGGGTAACTGGGCATGATGTCACACTTGAGTTTGGGGCCTTTGGCACAGCAGGAGACTAGGAATAGGCAGAATAATTTTGGCTGAAGGCAGACTGGGAAAGATGCCTTGGACTCCACTGCTGCATTGCTGTGGGAAACAAGCCCCTCCTGAGATGACTGTGCTGTAAGATCTTGACTCCCTCCATCTAAATTCAGGTGTAAATATGTGAATAAATCATATTTCTTAAAACTATGACAGTCTTGATTATCAAAAGAACACAGACCCTGGGTAAGCACCTGGAAACACCCCCCCCTCAATTTTGCTATGACTCAGTAGAGAGTAGGGATGGCGCCCAACTTCTGTAACCACGTGTTTCCAGACACAATTCTCTACATTCCACAGCAGCTGGAGCTGTACAAAGAAGCACCGTTTATAACACATGATCGTGATTTCATGTGCTCAGTTCAAGGTGGTTAATTTCCCAATGTAACTAATAGCCTCTTCTCTCCTTCCTGTGTTTATGATACAAATTTGTAAATCAGCATCTTATTCTTCTTTGGCAATCACTCTTGGCTAAGTAAGATTGTCTTCCATGAACTCAGCCTTAACAGTGACTCTGCAAATGACTGTGGAGGCCAGTTCTGGATCCACATGTCCATCCACATTGGGGACATAGGTTTTCGGGTGGGAGTTGATCAAGGTGAGGGTTTGCCAAACATTTCTCCCTTTCGTCCTGAGTTTGAGCGTCTTTAAGGTCTATGACACTTTTGGTAAAGGCTGTTCTCCAATTGAAGTGCTTGCAGGACATTATTTCCCAGTTGTCAGTGTTTATGCTATTTTTTGTTAGATTTGCCTTGAAGAGAGTCTTTAAACCTCTTTTGTTGACTGCCAGCATTACGCTTTCCATTTTTACTGTAAGTTTGGCATAGAGTAGTTGCGTTGAAAGACGATAATCAGGCATCCACACAACATGACCAGTCCAACAAATTGAATAATCATTGCTTTGACACTGGTGATCTTTGCCTGTCTTCCAGTTTGCCTGTCTTCCCAAGTGACATGTAAATTTTTTCAGAGACACCGTTGATGGAATCTTTTGAGGAGTTGGGGATGGTGTTTATAAGTGGTCCATGTTTCACAAGCATATAGTAAGGTTGGTAGTACAGTAGCTTTCTAAACAAGCATTTTGGTTTCCCTGAGAATGTCCCGGTCCTCAAAGACTCTGCACTTCAATTGGGAGAAAGCTGCACTCGCAGAGCTCAGGCAATGCTGGATTTTGGCATCAATGTCTGCCCTTGTGGAAAAATAGCTGCTCAGGTAGGAGAAGTGATTGACCTTTTCCAATGTTATACCATTATGTTTGATTAGTGGTGCTGCAGAGAGGTTGGTTTGTGCTTGTTGGTGTAGCCGGTTTTTTGGATGTTGAGCGATAGGCCAAGCTTTTCATAAGCTTCTGTGAAACTATTTAGGATGGTTTGGAGGTCATCCTCTGAGTGTGCACACACTACATTGTCATCAGCATATTGAAGCTCTATGACAGAAGTTATGGTAACCTTACTCTTTGCTTTCAGTGTACTCAGGTTAAAGAGCTCTCCATCTGTTTGATATATGATTTCTACCCTGGTGGGGAGTTTCCCTTCGACAATGTGTAGATTCATGGCCGGGAAGATAATAAATAGAGTTGGGGCAATAACACAACCCTGTTTAACACCTGATCCCACTGTGAATGGTTCACTTTGAGAGCCATTTTTACCTGTGATTTTGCTGTCATATTATCACAAAGGAGCTGAATGATGTTCACAAATGTATCTGGGCAGCCAATTTTCAGAAAGACAGTCCACAGGGCATTACGATTTAGTGTTGAAGGCCTTAGTCAGGTCAATAAACCCTATATACAGGGGTTGGTTTTGCTCTCTGCAATGAAAATCATGTCCACTGTCCCCTTAGAAGGCTGAAAACCATTTTGGGATTCAGGAAGGGTAGCCTAGGATATAGTTGCTAATATCCCACAGTGAAGGGGTGCACTCACTGCTTTTGTTAATGGTGGTGGACATAAATGCAAGAACTTCTTTCAGTTGTCCTAGGAGTACAGGTGACCCCCTATTTACATGGGGATTCTGTTCCAGGCCCCCACTGAGACCAGGCAATATTCCTACTGTTAGGAAGAGCGTTTAGGGGAAATGTATAAAATTAGCAATAATCACATGTCGGATTAACATCAATGACTACAATACTGCCACTGTGCCTTTAGACGCTTAAAAAACACCAAGAATCAATGCACACATTTAAGAACAGATTGGCAGTATCTTGAAACCACATTGCGAACCTTTTGACCCCCTTCTTGCATTTGCTCAATTATTTAAAATAAAATAATGTTTTAAAGGATTTTGACTAACCAGAAATTACTATGCAATCATTTGAATTTTATTTTGTTTTCCGGGTCTCTCAAATTTCTGGCATATCATCAGACTTGAAGTGCTTTTTTAATTATTTGCAAATTTGGCTCCATGAAGTGTATGGCCTATTATCACGAAGCAATAACTAGGCTATTCTTCTGTCAACATCTCATTAATATTATGCAATTGTTTAGAAATGTTTAGAGGATCATCTCCAGTGTAATCATTTCGTCCTCTTACAAGAATGATCTTCTACTACAAATTCACTTTACAAGCCTAATCATGCCTTCAGACAAGCAACCTAAGATACCAACCTAAATTTAGTATTCCATGCAAGTCTCTGCTTAGATCGAACCTTTTAAAAGTTAAATCTAATAGCACCATTATAATTCTGCATATGGAATCATGCTACCTGCATGAACATTTTTCTCATTATTTCCCAGAGATACAAGAAGAACCAGATTTCAGAACATTGCAGTTAAAAAAATCATACATATTTTAAAATGCATAACTAATTTCTCTACTAAAATGATCCAACTAGAAGAATGACCAAAAGGTTATTCAGTAATATATTTCCACAAGTTGTGTTTGTGTGACAGGAAATGATCTGGGGCACTCTCTCCATTTTCACATGCCAAAAAGCTGCATTTATTTTTCGCTGCATTTATTTTTCTTATCCCAGTGCATGAGAAAAAGGAGCCAAACCTAGCAGATTCAGAAGTCA